TTTTGCTTATCCCTTCATCCACTGATGGACAGTTGGGTAGCTTCAACATTTTAGTTACTGTGAATAATGCTGCTAAGAACATGGGTGTACAAGATCTATCCAATTTTGATAAACGAGATGTCATTTCAGTTCATTACCCTGTAAAAATGCATACAACATACACAAAATCTAAAGTGGAAGTCCAGAAGGAAAGTGAAAAAGATGCCTTTTTTCATCACTTTTTTTTGGTAGCTTGTCTAATTTCTCTTTTCTCCTGCTAGCCTCAACAAATCTAGACCATCAATACTTTTCATGCCCCTTGGTATAACTTCATTATTAATGGCCCCTTGCCTTTTCCCATGGAGTCCCCAATTCATGGATGAATATTCCCCACATCTTTCACCTTCAAAACTCATTTTACATCCTACTTTCACCAAACTACTTTCCTTTTTTAAATGCTTTACTCACTGGTAACCCAAAAAGAAAAAAGGGGACAAAAGCAGCATATGTTTTCTTAAAGTATCCCTAAAAAGTTTTTAAAGTACCATTCAATTATTAAAGTAACTTTGAATCAGCAATAATGGGTTCTATTTTAAAAAGGAAAAACTTTCAGAGGTTATATAGAGTATTACAAATAAAATTGTAAGCTATTCCCCCCCAACTACCTAACAATAGTAAGTTTCTTTTAATTTTTCTCATCTGAGAGAAGACATTGAAAATGTCCCGATAATTTTGAGAAACACCAAAAATGATCAAAAGGTTAGGAAATAAGAAGGAAAAAAATGTTTTTTTAACCTGGGACTAGACAAGGAAAAGAGACCATGAAGTACAATAGACTTAACAGACATGGCCGCATTACCACCATGCCTACTATTAATCGACACATGTTAAGGGCGGCCCTCTGACAGAACTAAAGAACACCACCTTGTATCACGGCAGGAGTGAATCATAAACACAAAAGTGTATGGCCTGTGTGACACATGTACACGTACATCTGGTCAACACTGTTTGCTGCCACCCTGTGAAAGAAAACCAAAATTAACAGCCAGTAGCTACTAAAATATACTTAGTTGTTCTGTAGATAAATAAAGCATTCTTCAACGACTTCACCTGCTACAACCCCTGGTTAAGACAGTTTGCAGCAAAGCAAGTAGAACTCTGAAAAGAGGCTGCCTATTCTTCAGCTCAGCATTGTAAAAAAAAAAAAAAAAAAAAAAACCCAAAAGAAAGAAAGAAAGAAAGGGGGAGGGAGGGAGGGAGGGAGGAAGGAAGGAAGGAAGGAAGGAAGGAAGAAAGAGAAAGAAGGAAAGAAAGGAAGAGAAAAGGGTTTTACAACATTAAACAAGAATTTAATTCAGCCTATTCAATGACCTATGCAAGAAACAATGAACCAAGCAGAGAGATGGATGGTCTTTTGTTTTGATAAACTAGGGTGATAGGATTCTTCAAAGAATATAAATCTCATCTCTGAGATATTTTAAAGAAATAAAAGTGCCTAAAGCCAGAGCAAACCAAATCAACTTTTTAAGATTCCTTCAACCTCTGATTATGTTAGGAATATCACTCTGCCTTAATATTCTAGGTATAAAAGAGGTTATAAACATCATCTAGGAAGGCAGCCAGAAAAAAGTCATTCCCATAACACTGTGACTATGGCATATACCCCAGGACATTTCCCAAAGATAATCAGAGGAACTCTAGCATCAGATGAAACCCAAGGGTCCACAAGACAATAATCAGAAGAAGCAAATTATAAATGAGAAGCTTTGGGAGCTCCATCTACTGGATCAGAATTTAATTGTCTATCTCAATAACTTCAGTAACATCCCTAACTCTCTACCCTGGAAGGAAACACGGTAACTTCAGTAATAAGTAGAGTTCACCCTCACTCTTTATGCACTTAAATTACCTTAAAGAAATCTTAGTTGCTTCCTTGTAGTTCTAACTGGAGATGAGTGCTATTACAAAAGGCCATTTGCTCAAGCTGATTTTCCACATTTTCTCTCTCATAAGCGCATACACACATTCATTCCTAAACTTAAAAAATGCTTAACACCTTAATTAAGACAGATAGAGTAAAATACTGTGACGTGAGTGCAACATTTCTACCCTACCACAACAGAGAAGACAAGTGGTTCCTACTCAAAAAAAAATCCATAGTTAATTATTAATAAGCAATGTGTCATACTCAGTAAAATTACTTGACATTTTAATTTTAGTAACCTCTCTTCACAGGCCTTCTAATTCTCCTACTTTATTAGCTAAGTATATTCTTTAGTAAAACTAAGTAGTAATAAGTTCATGAGTATTCTGAAGGTAATTTATCATCACAAAACTGAAAGAAAGCAGATTTCTACCAGTAAGTCATTTGAGAAAGCCTAGTGAAAATCCTCAACACGGTCACAAAAAAGAATATGACATTAGTGAAATGTGACAACACATTTCTGTGTGCAGCTACCACTTAATATTCACTTGTAATTTCAACTGAAACCTTTCTACTCAATTTCTAGGACTATAGTTTGGCTATACTATAATATGAAATTTGCATATTATGTTATTTGGAAAGTTAAAAAAGAGAAAAATGACTGGTATTTGCTCTTTAAAATAAAAAGGTATATTCACTTAGATGATAATTTCCCCAACTATACATGGATTTTATTGTAAAGGCCATTAGGTTCCCAAAGCAACAGGTCATTTGCAGCCATTACAATGTCAACCTGTTGAGGTTTTTGTACAATACTCTTTCTACAAACTTGCTAGACTTTCCATTACCATAACTTTGCATGCTAACATAGATAAATCACTATTGTTATTTTAAGTGAATAGAAACATTCTCAGCCTAAGAAACCCAAAACTATTATAAACTGAAATTTTTCTTCAATTACTGAATTTCCTTCTCTAGAATCAAATGTAAAATTTATTTTGGTAATCAAGGCTAAAATATCATATAAGTACAAAAAGTGTGGGTTTTCTTTAACAATCTCCTCAAAAAGAAAAAAGAAAAAAGAGAATGTGAATAAACATACAATCTGTCAACCTTAACGTGGAGTTTTAAAATGAACAACAAATGAAAACTATATTACCAAGTGCCTGCTTAAATAATAAAGAGAAAAGGACAATCCTGAAGTTCATTGCCCCATGGTTGTCTAGCTAAGTCCAAAAACAGAGGAACATTTATAAAGCTGAGATTTCGCTCACTGGTCTATCTCCTCAAAATTTGAACTGCTGAAAAAAAACCTTTCACAGTTTTTCTTATTGTTAATTAGATAATTTCATATTACACTGTGTTTTCTACAATGGAGAGTAATACACAGGATAAATTAACATGACAAAAATGTCAAAATGTCAAAATGATGCCAATTAGTACTACGGTGGCAGGTTTATCTAAGATACAGAAAATAATTTATAAGATGGGCTTTCAAGAACCCACATTTTTTAAAGTGAACACCTTTATCATTCATTTTATTTCTTGGGAGGCTTAAGATCAGCTTGTCAACACACAAAAAAAGTATTCTTTTCAGGCTTTCCAAGATTTCCAGTAGCTCATTTTTACCAGAAAGCCTAGTCGATGGCATCCAATTTGCAAACATCAAATTTAAGATCACAGTTTCAATAAAACAAGAAGAAAGAAATTAATGTTCACTTTAAGTATTTATATTGGCGTAGACTGAACAGACTGCTTAAGAAAAGACTGACAACAAGGGTTCATTTTGCCATCACTCATGTGCTGCATGGACTAGTTTTCACATTACTTTAATCAAGAGATAGACATAATGAGTCCATTATTTAAAGTATGCAAATTCATAACTCCTTCTTTGTGTAAGTTTGGTATTTTGGCTCATGTCACATATCTGCAAACCAAGTATGCATCCCACTAAAAGGCAAAGAACAAAGAAACTAGAATTACTTAGCTTTTTAAAATTTATATTTTCATGAAACAAGAAAGTAACTAAGTGGCTGCTTGTAAGACTGGTAGGGTCAATTTAATCATCACTAGATCTTCAAGCTTCCTTCAAAGTGTTAGGGAGATTCCCTATTATCTTACAAACAGTTATTCAGAACTTAACAGTGTACCTGACTTCAACAACTATACCACAAACAAAAGCACCTTAAATAGCAACGTCTAATTATCTAATTTTTAATAACAACAACAAAAACTACTCCTATTATGTACCCAGAAAATCCAATAAACACCCTTCAGTAAGTATAGTAACTTTGTCCTAAATTCATGGAAAATTGAAAAGCCCAATAAGAAACAAATTATTCAATTTTATACTCTTACTATAATTAGAAATAAATTTTAATACACTAATTTCATTGAAAACCATTTTTCAAGAAAAGTTACCAGCTGTCCCAATTTCTCATTTTTTGATCATAGAATTTCTTTGTTCTTAAAACTTCATATTTAATAGCTTTGCAAGAAAATATAATAACAAGAGTAGAAAATATTAAAGATTTATTCAAAACAATTACTCTGTCCTATTGATGGCAGTGAAGGTTGGGGACAGAAACTAGTGTTTTATGGTGTTTTCAAAAACACTTTAAGACAAATATAACAAAAATCAGATTAGAGAAAGTAATTTTCACCTCTTCTAACACAAATATAGTCGATACTTTCTATTCAAATACTCCAATATATCCATACATTTTGTATAAACAGGCAATGATGATGAGCTAACTTTTGAACACGTACGGTGTGCCAAGCACTGTGCTTTAAATGCACTACACTTACAGCAATTTTGTAAATTGAGCGATTACCTACAGCAATTGTCTGCTAAGTACAACCGTTAACCCTATTTTACATATAGGGGGGTTGAGGCACAAAGAGGTTAAACAATTCACTCAAAGCCACATTGTTAATCAGTGACAGAGCTGGAATTCAAACCCAGACAGTCTGGCTCCATATCTGATTTTGGAATTACTATTAAAGCACACGTGGTATATGGCACAACGCCTGACACCCAGCAAGTACTAAATAAAAGAGTAACTATTACCATACCATTTATCTCTTCTTTACTTACTCTGTGATAATTCTGGACTCCCTTTCAGATTCATCATCTTTGGAATTGAAGGACCATACACATCCACATCTAACAAACCAATGGCCTTTGACTGTAAGAAAATAGAATTTACTATGAGCTTATTTCCACTGTTCATCAAAGATAAAGCACATGCAACAGTAAATCTGACTACAGCAAAGACAATTTGCAAAACATTCCAAAATCATAACCTGAATTTTCAAAGCAAATATAAGGTGAAAGAACATAAACCGCTTAGGGTAAAAACTTTACGTTGGGCTACTAATCTCTTCTAGATAACTGACTAGAGAAATCCACTGCATACACTTTAAACACTGTGGTTCAGATCTCCCATATAGTCACAAACAAATTAAGACTTTTTGATCTGAGAACTAACAAATAACATGTATACAATGTTAAAATAATGGCTTACAATGGCAAAAAAAATCCCATGAAGATGGAGCATTAACTTTTGGAAAGGGCATCTAACACAACAAAGAATACAAAATGAAGGGGGAAAAAACTCATAGAAACCAGACCATAATTAAAGCAAGTGAGAAATTCTGATGCAAATCTGGCATGGAAATGCTAACAAGGATAGTGGCAGACATAGCAGAGACAAACTCTAACGTGCAAGTCACAGTTAAACACCCAAAATCTTCCAGCGAATTCATAAACAACTAAAATTGTTTTCTGTGATGATCCATCCAGCTGCCCAAGGGCAGAATATCCTGACTGGTCTCTTCACTAGCTGACAGTTAATCAGCAGATTAACAAAGAAAGGAAAACAAAATTCACTATTTCCAAGTGTCTTTTTTTTCCTTCTCCCTCCACTACTCCCTTGCTCTTTCTCCTTTGATAGATTAAATCCATCTGTTATTGGTTTTTCTCATACACAAGCAAACAGAATGCTAATACTAACTATATATATGTCTTTGAGTTATGCTTCCCCAAGACTTACAGCTCTTCTCCCTCTCTCCCTTTATCCTGGCAAGATAAAACTCTCAAGCTTTCAAAAAAAATTTTTTTAACTAAACAGTCTCTCATCTTCTAAATTATCTACCTATTTCCAGACATAAAATTACTTTTTAAACCTCACTGTCTGGTTCCTATAAATAGACTAAATAAGGTACATTCAAATTTATGTCCCTAACTTTACACTGACTCAAATTGCAGTTCTAAGAAAACCATTTTATGTCTCTGTGTGACTCACAGAGACTAAAGAACTAGGGATTAATATCTGCTTCTACCAAAATCTCAGTTTAGTGTAAAATACATGAGAAAGGAAGAAGGACACATTATCTTTAATAGAATGGTGATATACAAAATTTGGGTTTAATACTTTCAAAAAATCATTTTGTGTATTAGTTTCCAGCTTTCTCCTCAAAAGTAGGTTTGATACCACTTTACAGGGTTGCTATGAGAAATGTAAATAAAATCCTTAGCAGAGTGCCTGGCCCCCAGAAGGAATTCAAGTGGTGGGAAGATGTAATCAGGGAAAGCCTAGTTGTTTATTTGGGTGATTTAGGATGGCGTGCTTTTAGAGATTCTGATTTGTCCACAGAGCTGGCTGTGGAAGCCTAGTTTATCCAGGTTCTTAATACAACATTGCTGATAATCCTCTCCATCCTTTGCTTCCTCTCTTCTTCCCTGCCTTTGTCCTTCTTCCCTTTTCTCTTTCCTCTCTTCCTACTGACCTTCCTACCTTTTCCTCCTCTGTCTCCTTTTTGATATATGTATATATGTAGACACTGATACTAAAATTAGGTCAGTCAGTAGTTTTAAGAAGGTAGGAAGATTCAATGAGAAATTCTGACCAATTTTAACTCCTTTCAAAGCACAAACAAAAGAATTTAGTTGAATTAAGATAGAACTAAATTCACTATGGATAAAAAGATTTTCAAATGAGGGGGCCTAAAACCCTAAGAAATGTAGATAATTGTTAATACTATTTCCTAAGGGTCTGCTAATACTATAACTATCATCCTAGAATTTCCTCTCTGTTCCACATCTTTTCTTGTGACACCTACAAAACTAAAAGCTACCATAAAATAACAGTAATGTTAATAAAAACAAAAATATTCTAAGATTCTTTTTCCTTGGTTTCTTATTTCTATTAATGTTGGTTTTATAATAACTTGAAGGGTTAGGTTCCAGGCTTCAAATTAATCTAAAAATACCTGTCCAGTAAAATAACTTAGTTTTTTAAGTTTATGTTTTTATGAAACAAGAAGACAACTAAGTGCATGCTTGTAATATAAGGCCTCTAAGGTCCATTTTATCATCACTAGATCTTCAAGTTTCCTTCCAAATATTAGGGAGACTTTATCATCTATCTGTCTTGTCTTCTAGAAGAGAACCATGCTTGGGCGGTCTCACTTTCCTAGACGACCCCATGCTCTGGGACCACCTCTCACCTTTTGAGATGACCCACACTCTGTCTATGGAGAGTGTATCCATCTCCTAGGGTCGCTCTCACTTTCTGAGATGACCCCACGCTGTGGGGCCACCTCTTGCCTTGGAGATGGCCTGTGTTTTGTCTATAGAATGTGTATCTCCTAAGCCACCTCTCTTGCCTTCTGAGATGGCCTGCACTCTGTCTATGGAGTGTGTATCCCCCTGAATAAACTTATTTTCACTTAAAAAAAAATTCTTGTCTAAAAGTGAGCCCTTGACATCATGATTTAAGACAAAACTGAAGATCTGCCTTAAAATTTGCTATGGTAGGTATGAATTTATATATAGCCATTAGATGGCTGCTAATACATGTTATTATATAAGAATAAAGAGGGCAGGGAGGGAGATTTCAAGATTACGGCATTCTTCTGCTTCCTAGAGAATGGAACTAAGAATAACGTATTAGGTTCTCTGTATACTGTCTCTAGGAGTAGCTACCAACTGACTCAAGAAAGGATGGAGGTAAGTTAATTAGCAATGTTACATTAAGAACCCGGATAAACTAGGCTTCCACAGCCAGCTCTGTGGACAAATCAGAATCTCTAAAAGCACGCCATCCTAAATCACCCAAATAAACAACTAGACTTTCCCTGATTACATCTTCCCACCACTTGAATTCCTTCTGGGGGCCAGGCACTCCACTAAGGATTTTATTTACATTTCTCATAGCAACCCCGTAAGGAGGTATCATACCTACTTTTGATGAGAAAGCTGAAACCTAATACTCAAAATGATTTTTTAACTATTTTTTCTAGAATGAAGCAAAAAGGAAAATTAAACACAAAAATACTGACCACATAAACCTCTACCATAACTTGAACAGGATCTGTTGACAAAAGACATACAAAAAGAAGAAGTCAGCACACTTCTCATTAAAGGGACAAATAATAGGAAATATTTTAAGTCTTGTGAACTATTTGATCTGCAACTACCCAACACTGCCACTGTAGTACCAAAGCAGTCATAGACAATATGTAAATGAATGAGCACAGCTACGTTCCAATAAAACTTTATTTACAAAAGCAGGCAGGATTTAGTCCACAGGTCATAGTTTGTCAACACTGATTTAGAAAATAAACTTTTTCATATCCAAATTATTTCAATCATCCAATACTGTAATTTTGGTAAAGCCAAAAGCAGGCAGAACAGTCATCTCTTTAAGTGTCAGAGGAGCTGTCTCAGTAAAGATCTACTTCCTCATCCTTAATTGGCTAGTTTTTAAAAACAATAAAGAGTTCACTTTTCAGGCTGTTTCACTAGAACTAAGTCAGCATTTCTTGCTTTAATTTTATATATTGTGAATAATATCAGTGTCCATTAAATAGAAACACTGAAGCCTGTATTAATTAAAGTCTATTGTACTTTCATTTGGCACAGCTTTTGAACTGGTAAAATTACCATGGCTACAAAAATCAGCCTAAACATACTTTCAAGTCTAGAATTCAATAATGTTCAAAAGATGCCAAATAAACTTCATTTGTTTTTCATAATTTACTCCATTTTTTTTAAATAGGCTCCTATTTAAGTATATAAACAGTCTTTCAATTTAAACTTTCAAACAGTTTTATGCTGTAGGAAAATAAATGAGCAATGTAGAGGCTATAAATAAATATATGTAGCTGGGTGTCCAACTAAGTTTTGTGAATCCTTTCCACCTCACTCATCCTAATAATTACATTTAGTCAAGAAAGCTCCAATTAGGATTTTCTTTTTCTTTCATTTCAGCCAGGCCCAAAAGAATAATCACTACAAAAGCCTTACCAAGTATACAACAGATAAAGAAAAAAGATTATTAGTAAAAATAAGTATAAACTTACTATTGTAAAGTAGGATTGCCACCTTTAATGTCACTACAAGCTTAACCAAATATTATACTCTCTTTTCTGACTCTCCTGCAGCACTCAAAGTCTAGCAGATAACAAGGCAGATCAAACCCCAAGATACTACTTAGACTTTTTATTTGCTTCTTTATATTCATAATACCCTGTGAGAGCTGTAAAAGGTGGCAGAATTATTATACTGTTTCATTACTATTGCATGAAAGCTGCAATTTGAGAGCCTGTAGTCCTGTTTTTTTGTGTTGAATTTTAAAGGCACCAACAACAATTTTGATACTGCTTTGTTCTTCCAACAGAATTTACACCAAAGAAGATTGTAAAGCTTCATGACATGTTCTTTTTATCCATGTCATCTGCTAATAGAAGCCATCAAAACAACATCTTAGAGCAGTCCACCCCATTACCTGTAAGTAAACATTCATTTAAGACTAAGATAGACTTAAAGGTATCCGTTCCAGAGAGGTACCAGTTAAGAATTCCAGGATTCTCTGCACATTATATTACATTTAATCTTGGTCTGGCAATTGGGACTTATTCAACTTAAAGTTGAGTCAAATCTGTTCTTTCTTCTCCTACCTAGCTTTAAGTCAAGCTGCCATTCACAAGAATTTTAATTTCTTAGTAGAGAAAAATATGTTTCCTAATTCTGTTAGCTCACATTAAATAAGAATCTGACTCTCAGAAGCTAATAAGTTTGGACAAGGTGATAAGAGAAGAATTTCCCACTATTTACCAAAGGACTGTCTAAATCTTCAAGCTCAGTCAAGAAAGAGGTAAAAGGGCAACATAAAGGAAAAAG